CCATACAAGGGAGTTATTCTTATCAAGCTTTAAACTGCATGGGTATTTTTCTTATGCAGAATTCACAACAAAATGTAAAATTTTCCCTTCCCGACACTGTCAGCAGTATTTCCATCTTTGAAATTTTTCATACAAGTACTCAAAAGTTAAACAAAGTTTTCCTTGTGCAATAATGACTTCATAATTTTAAGAGAGAGTTTTGAAAACCAGAATACCCAGAGCAAATCTATGCATACACCCCTGCCACTCTTTCAATAACGTAATGTTATGCATATAACTACTGTTCCCTGAAGGAAAGGAACGAGGTACAACACATGGAGGCCCCGCTGCACAGCTGGGCTCGGTGAAGAGCAGTTACTGAACTAAGGAGTGACGGTGATGCGACAATATTTATATGTGCAGGCGGAGCCTGACATCTGTCGTCATCACGTCACCTGCCTAAAGGCGTGATTAGARGTGGCTTCAGCCAGGACACGCAGGGGCGTGGTTCCCATACATGATGTTGTACCTCGTTCCTTTCCTTCAGGGAACAGTAGTTATATGCATAACATTACGTTTTTCTGAAATGTTTATGAATWAAGGTCTAACTGCTGTTTGTATTTCCAATCAGGAAAGAAAGTGGTGGATGTTGCAGTAGGATCCACACATTGTCTAGCTCTCACAAATGATGGAGAAGTACACAGCTGGGGCAGCAACGATAAGATGCAACACTTTGATACACTATTTTCTAACAAGAAACAGCCCAAGGCGCTCCCAGGGCTAAACTCCAAACATATAGTGGGAATCTGCTGCGGCCCAGGACAAGTAGGACAATAACTCTCTCTGATAATTAAATGTCTTCACAATGATAGAAACCAGGTTTGACTCTATTTTTGTTGTTGTAGAGCTTTGCCTGGTCCTCTTGCTCAGAGTGGTCTGTCGGGCTGCGTGTGCCTTTTGTGGTGGATGTTTGCTCCATGACCTTCGAGCAGTTGGAGCTCCTCCTGCGGCAGGTTAGCGAGGGCATGGACGGCAGCTCTGACTGGCCTCCACCTCAGGAGAAGGAGTGCATGGTGGTCACCACGCTGAACCTGCTTAGGCTCCAGGTGGGAAACAGTCTGTCAACAGATGATCAGAATCATCAGAATCAGAAGGCTTTATTGATCCCCGAGGGAAATTACAGTTATTACAGCTACAACCTTTCAAGTTAAACACCTAGAGAATAAAATATATGCACACTAGAATAAAATAAAATATAAACAGAGGAACCAAAACAAACACACTTATGAACATATAACAGTGATTTGTTATGAATAGAATAAGGTAAGATAAGATAAAACTTTATTGATCCCACAGTGCGGAAATTTGCACATTACTGCAGCTCAATACAGGAGAGGGTGAGAAGAATAAAGAGATAAATAAAAGAAAACAAACAAACAAACAAAAAAATATGTATTATGTAATGTATTCTCTGTAATGTATTCTGTATGAAATATAAACAGTATGCTTTGGCATGATGTTGTATAAATATACGCTCTATGTAATATGTACAGTATGGTGTACTGTATGAAATGAAGATTTATTATATATAGACAGTCTGGTTGATATAAATAAATCTTACGGAGTAAAAATWGTATAAAATAAATGTAAATGATGATGTTTTCTCTTTGATTTTCTCAGAAGTGATACAATGATAGAGTAGTTTATATTATTTGCTGCCAAAAGGCAGATGATGATGTTTTATCTGTATATATCTTTGTGTGTGTGTGTGTGTGTGTGTGTG